AAACACTATAGATGAACGAGAAAGCACTTACTAGACTTCTGTCTACCTGTTTCTTACGAGCAAGTAGTTCAACGAGTTCCTTTTCAAGTTCTTTCAGTTGAGGATAATCAGCAGCATTCTTTGACTACATATTTGTAGAATTAGCGTCGATAGCTAGATGAACACTACAAGTATATCGACTTACTCGACGTGGTGCTTCGTGCGTACCACTTGCATTAGAATCGTGAGTTGATGATTCAGGCATAGCAGTTGTATGTAACAATAGAATAGTAGTAGTGATAGTAGTAACGAGTGATAGTAAAAGGGGCGATGATTCAATAAAATAATAATACACACAAATTCAATAAAAGTATATAGGTATATAGCGAGTTTATTGCTATAATCATCAAAATGGCTTATTGTTGTGGTGATGATAATCAATTGAAATTAAGCATACAAATCGTCGTCACCGTCCTCGTCTTGGTTGAACGATGCCGCGGCAGTTGCTGCTGAGCCGCCTGCCTGATTTTGAGTATCTGAACCTGCAACACCACCTTCAGGGAATTTGAACTGGCCAATACCGCGCGATTGCTGCAGTGTTTGCGCGAACATCTCGTAGCGACGAATGTCCTGATCCGACACGGAACGACGAGCAAATCGCATGGCCTCTTCAAAGTGGGCACGTGTAATCTCGGGGACCGGGTCGAACTCTTCGTCCTCAACATCCTCCATGGCCATCTCGTCTTCGCCGGCAGCTTCTGCCGATGCCTTACGTTCACGCTCACGTCGAATTTCCTGTTCAATCGACTCGCGAATGGCCAGTTTACAGGCACGTTGACAAATTTCGGTCAAGTCAGCACCGGAGAAGCCATGTGTCTTTTTAGCAATAAAGTTGAGGTCAATCTCCTTGGAGAGTGGCGATTTACGTAGCGTGGCCTTGAGAATGTTGAAACGACTGGCTTCATCCGGCAATGGAATGTAGATCAATTGGTCCAATCGTCCGGGACGTAGTAGAGCACCGTCAATCTGATCGGGTCGATTTGTGGCACCGATAACGAACACGTTCTTCTTTGCGTTCATACCGTCCATTTCCGTTAGAATCTGGTTGAGTACACGATCACCGGCACCGCCACCATCTCCCGATGAGGAGCCACGAGCCTTGGCCACCGAGTCCAACTCATCGAAGAACATGACACAGGGAGCGGCCGCGCGTGCCTTGTCGAATACATCACGTACGTTGGCTTCAGATTCACCGAACCACATTGTCAACAATTCAGGACCCTGTGTTTTAGACAAGTAAATTAATAAATGATTAATATATATAGCTTTAACAAAAACTAGTTCTACTCACTTTGATCGAGATAAAGTTTGCTTGACATTCGTTGGCGATGGCCTTGGCAAGCAATGTCTTACCGCAACCGGGTGGTCCATAGAATAGTACACCCTTTGAGGGTGACATACCAAACTTGAGGAACTTGTCGGGATGCTCGACTGGATACTGAACGGTCTCCTGCAATTCACGCTTGACGGACTCCAAGCCACCAATGTCGTCCCAGCGCGTGGTTGGCACTTCGACGACAGTCTCACGTAGTGCCGACGGGTTGGATGTACCAAGCGCGAAACGGAAATTGTCCATGGTGACGGCGAGCGAGTCAAGCACCTCGGCGTCGATAGTCTCGTCTTCCAGATCAATAAGATCCATCTTTTCACGAATTTGTTGCATAGCAGCTTCAGAGCACAAAGCGGCCAAATCGGCACCGACATAGCCATGAGTTTCCGCGGCAATCTAGGAATACGAGGCGGGTGTTAGTTGTAATCTCACGGTTTGCATCATTGCTCATTATCCTCGCTAGCCTACCTGTTCAAGATTCACGCTTTCCTCGTCCAACTTCATGTTCTTGGTGTGAATACGTAGTACTTCAAGTCGACCTGTAGGATCCGGGATGCCGATATCCACTTCACGATCGAATCGACCGAATCGACGCAATGCTGGATCGATCGAGTTGGGTCGGTTCGTTGCAGCCATTACGACCACGCTGCTACGTGCCTTCATACCGTCCATCAGGGTCAATAATTGCGAGACAATACGTCGTTCAACTTCACCGTTTGTCTAATCATTCATTACATGTTAGTACGTACACTATTTTATACGCACATACACACTAAAGCCTACTGACCTTTTCACGCTTAGGAGCAATAGCATCGATTTCATCGATAAAGATAATAGCGGGTGCATTCTTCTCGGCTTCTTCAAACACCTTGCGCAAATTACTCTCACTTTCACCGGCCATCTTACTCATGATCTCCGGACCGTTGATTGGGAAGAAAGCGGCACCTGACTCGTTGGCCACGGCACGAGCGATCAATGTCTTACCCGTACCAGGTGGACCGTACATGAGAATACCGCGTGGCGGTTTAATACCAATCGATTTGAACAGCTGGGGATGACGTAGTGGCAGTTCAACCAACTCGCGAATCTGCGCCATTTGCTTACGACAACCGCCCACATCGTCGTAACCGATCTCGTTGAGGTTCGACTCTTCATCCTCTCGCTTGATCGGGTCGCCTTCATAGTGAATCAGGGTGTCGGGCGATACAATGCAGTACTCTTCGGGATCGGTTTCCACCACTTTGAATTCAACGGCACGCATACCACCACGAACGAGGAAGGAGTCGCCCTTGCGAACTGGACGATATGCCTCGAGGAAGTAGGGTTTCAAGTAGACTTCAAACAAGTTACCGGTCAATCCCTCGATAGTATCGTCGATTGGCAGCACATGGATGCGTGTGCCGTATTTAATATCGGGACAAGCATTGACCGTAACAATATCGCCAAGACGTACACGAAGATTCTTGCGTACCACTATTTAGAATGATAATGATGTATTAGTATATCGATACAGATCGATGAATAAAGCTGAGCATATTCAATGCGCATTATTATACTGATGATATTATATATGTATGTATATATCACCACCATGCCAACAGCAGCAATAGCAGCAGCAATAGCAGCAATAGCAACAACGGCAACTCACCTCGATTCAGACGAACTTTGCCGTCTTCGCAGTCATCCTCGGAAAGAGCAATCAGCACCGTGTCGTGACGCTTCTTGCCTTTGACGATGACCGAGTCACCACGGAATAGTTGTAGTTTCTCCATAGTATTTGGCGACATGCTAATAACAGAGTTGTCGTCATTGACAGCATCATCAACCATAAGCTTGTTAGGAGCAGACTTGCGACGCAAGATCGCAGTGGCGGTGTCGTGTTCCGGATCACCACCCTCCTTGATCTCTGCGTTATTTCTATATGACATAGATGTATGCGTATATACGGTTAATAACAGCCACGAAAAGGTACGACAAACAAGTGGACCGACAGACGTGCAGTACATTCTTGCATAGCACTTACTGGAGTTTAGTCTTGTCGGCAGTCATTTTTTAATACACGACAACGAGGAATATAAGAGATGAACAACAATGTAGAGCAAAAACGATGGAAAGTGTAGCTGTTGATGGATGAGTAATAATAAGAGATGGGTTGAGTGAGTGAGTGAGCGAGTGAACAAGCAACGGTTCTATTTTAACTTTGATGACGCAGTGTGAGATGTGGGCACGTGGATGTTAAGCGACGTGTACAATTCACACTCACTCACTCACCAGGTGTAGTCAAAATAGCAACGACACAACAGCGGCTAATAACAATAATAATAACAGCAACAACAGCAGTAGCAGCAGTAGTAGTAGTAGTGGTAGCAATAATAACAATGAAGGGGCATCCTGCACTACACTACACTAGGAGTAATCTATCATAACAATAGACAGATAGATACTGGATTAGTCATGATGGACCGTGTAAAACTCTCCACAAGGTAGAACTCGATGGAAGAACACGGAAGCTACTTGACTGATGCTATCGTAATCTAGGGAATATGGCATTTGTCATATCGTCATCAACCAGTGGATTAGCATCATCCCATTGGCGGTCGTGTCTTAAACCATTGAAGCCACACATATATTCCTCTTATACTCTATGACATTATCAACTTTAGTTTTTCACTGGATACCCGCCGAGGATGGGTATGTAGTATAGTAGTAGTAGTAGTAGTAAAAGAACAAGTAGTATAGTTACTAATACTACGATAAACATAAGCGCTATTCCGTTTGACGCAGGTAATACGACGACGATAGCTATTTACCGGTGATTCCTATTGAACTATTCGGCATCACTAGTACAAGCAGGTCAAGAGGCCAACGAGACACCGTTGTATATAGCACGGTAAGCAGATGAACAATCGAGCATCTAGCCCGTGAATAATAAGACTAATAAGGGTATACTAGTGTTTTTGAATTATCGCAAACGTATATCGGTAGTGTTGGGCGACATTTAAGTGGAGCAGTAGTATCTGTCAATGGTAGCTAGTATACGATTAGTTAGCGTATAGGTTCTAGCTGATATATATATATATATATATATATATATTCGTGTTTACCCTTACAGGTGAGCAACGACATTACGCGCAGTACGATGTATTGTGCGCAAGTGAACCAGCGAGTCTGTGCTGGGTAGACTGCTCGTTTGACGCCAGCGACAACAGGCAATGGCACGAAAGTGGCGTGGACGGTAATGGCATGTGTCTTGGTCTGCCGCGTAAATGGACAGCAGTCGAGGTGAGACAGCAGGGCGTATCCCATCCGGTAGGTTGTCCCGTCTACGACTAGTAGTTGCTATATATACGCAAATGAATGATTAGGTATATATCGGGCGTACGTGGTTTCGAGGTGCATTACGAATCGGCACCGTTTCCACAGTGGAACAAGGCATCACTTTCGCCATGGATGGTGTGCATTATCATAGTCGAGAATTCGCTGTTCTTGTTCTGAAATAGCATCAACACGTAATAAATCCACTTGTAAATGAAACTGTATAATTTATTCAAAAAGAAACGTCAATAAAGCGACAAACGAGATGTAATAAAATAATCACATGAGCGTCAAAATAATGAAGTGGCAAAAAATGGGGTCTGACCGGGGATTGAACCCGGGACCTCTCCCACCCTAAGGGAAAATCATACCACTAGACCATCAGACCACCTTGACCTGTTTTTTTGCAGTTTATTTATTACTTATAGAGAAATAGTGGCTGTTTTGGTCTTTTCCGCGCTGCCAACTCCGCAGGTTCCTTAAACAAATTTTTTTATGTAACGCGGCAATTTGTTCTGCCTGAAATAATGTTACGATAGATTCGAGAGCTCGTGTTAAGATAAGACACTATGATAAGTTGAGAGAATTGTAGAGTAGAGGGTATTGTTCGATGAGTAAGTGTGTGATAAGATAATGTCTTTATTTCGTATAAATGTAAGTACGCTTATATAGCTAGAACAGCTATGAATGTAAAGAGGTACCAGCAGTAGATGTGAGTTTGCTACAGCGCATCTTTGCCGAGTTAGTCGAAGATGTACTAGTTCGCGTAGTACTTGTTGATGAGCGGGAAGCGTAGCATGGCGAATGCTACTTTATGTTGAATCGTCGGGTGGTTGTTGATTGTTTGTGTAAGGGAATAAGAGGCGAGTGGGTGATCGTTATAGATCCTGACGTAGTAATGAGCAAGTGTATCATCACGTGATCAAATCTAGGTGGAGATTCGTTAAAGTGAGGAAATCCTACTGTGAAGTTCATATATCACAGGAGCGGATTACATTTATTAACGGGCGCATGGCCAAATGGATAAGGCGCCTGACTACGGATCAGGAGATTCCAGGTTCGAGTCCTGGTGTGCTCGCTCGTTTTTTTTTTGCGTCTTGCTACTTGTAGTTAGGTTTTATTTTTTTGCTCTACGCATTTCATTCCGTAATATAATATTGATCATTCACTCTCGATAACCACTCACTTCAATAACCCAAACGATCATATCTCTGTACTTTATTTTATCTCATATGATCATTCATTTGAATGTTGTCAACTTGGTTTATTATAATAAAATAAGCTACGGCAATATTAAAAGAAAAAAAAAAGGTTTATTATAATAAAATAAGCTGCGGCAATATTAAAAGAAAATGCATATTTATTTGTATAATAAAGTATGTTAAGGCGATAACATCGCGTGTGTTATCCATTACCGCTTTAGTAGTTGTTATCGTCATAGAATATCATATCGATGAATTACGCGTTGCTAGGTAAGCCTCTGTTTCTTTATAATAATGTTATACTTGCCTTGCCTTTATTTTCTTTGTCTGATAATGACGATAACGGCGTCGTATTCTAGTATAGTTCGCTTCTAACTACCGCCTTGAAACGTATTGCATTCAATATCAACGATAACGATGCCTTTACTCTTTGACATAATCTACGCTCCTTGTTGCTGCGAAAGTGTATGCACGTTTTCCATAAATGCTAATTATAGGAAGACAAGGCGATGAACGATAATGCCTATCATTTAAACAGAGACACACATCCTCCCCCTTCCACCTTTAAGGAGGCGGGCATACATCTTTTTCCACTCTCATTAGTTTCTTCTCGTTACTTCGTTTCTTTATCATCTTGTTTGCGCGTACACTCTACCGTGCGTGTGTCTGTGTATCGACAGTTCCGTATCTTTTCTCTTATAAACATGACGCAATTTAACTGGGTTCCTTGCGAGAACGGCGCCATTCCCCACCAGGCCGTTCAAGGTGGAATGGAGGCCGACGGCTCTCCACTCTACATTGGTCGCGGCGAATATAAAGGTAGCACGCAGGTCGGCAAGGTGTCGCCCAACTTTGGCGGTCTTCTCATCGGCTATGGAAGTAAGTGTCATTGCCTGTGGAGAGCAATAGCGGCAAATACTAACATATACAAATGCATATTGATATGTGTATATACGTTGTATAATACAATTAGGCAAAGAAATAAAGCTCAAGCAATACGAAGTACTTACCGGTGATGCTGCTCATTTCCGTTGGGTGGCCTGCAGTGGTCCGGCATTGCCTGAAGACTGGATTCCCGTAGAGGGAGGCTGGGAAGCCGATGGCAAGAAGGTGAGTGGCAACGACGACAGCAATTGTATGAGGTGTCGCACCTTATTATTATCGTTATTATTAACTCGAATATCATCGTTCATTTAGTTGTTCATTGCAAAGGCCAAGCATGTAGGCGGATTGCAGGTTGGAAAGGCTGGTAGCCACTTGGACGGCATGACCTTCAGCTATGGTTCTAAAGAACTGGCCGCCAAAGAGTATTGGGTACTTGTCCACTTTGGCAATGCGGCTTAGACGATTGTTTTACAATGATACAACGTTATTTGATCTACCATATCCCATGGATGATGTCATTACAATCGTCATTCTATCAGTATCGTTACTACATAGGCAGATCGTATATTCAGTTACAATAAATTCTTCGTATTACAAGTAACGATGTTATCATGATTATTGAAACGAGTACAATTGTATAGGAGAACAGTGGTGGCTTAATAGGATTATTTATTAAATTACACTGTAATGTTAAAGCGCAGTGTAATAGATCAATATTAGTAGATGTAGGGTAGTAGTAAAATAGGACAATAGGATGATAGCATGGTATGCAAGGCTATAATCATTCATCCAGCAACAGCGATATAGGACAGCATTGTCTGGCTAATAAACAAGTAGATATGTAACGTGCTGATATGCATTCATTACACTATTACAACCAACCGATATTATACTCGTATGATTTGTCGCTCATTAGTGAATGGCCGTTGTCAACACGAGACCTACTAGGGCGGATCCTAGCATCGCCATTGTTATCGTACTCAATGGAGATTGTAGGGTGACGCTTGAACCTGAGATATCGCTTGGGATTTGAGTTGACGAGTTAGATGCAACGATAACACCGCAAGCAATACGCTTGTCACCTTCGTAGAGCATAAGCATACGATTAACAATGCCGTGGTCCTTTCCATTATCGAATGGCAAGTACTCGACACTTTTGTTGCCACTAATACTTCCATTTACAGCACCACTAAAACCACCAATTTGACCTAGTAGTAATCGTTCAGAGATAGAGAGATATATTATTAGCAATTGATTCATATTTATAATATTTATGCATTCTATACTTGTCAATGGTTATCTCGCTAGAGTTACTTACCGTATAGATCACCAATGGCACATTCGGCTGCGGCATTAGCATTACCCCTACACGTATTTTTGCCAAATCGTTGATCAGGATCCAATACCGCACCAATACTCGTGTTGTTACAATCTCCACTATTAGCACGTCCACTATGGACAGCAAGTCGATAGGCATCCATCGTTGTGTTGGTGAAACCACCATTGCCAACAAGGATTAGTTGCTTTACATCCGAGTGAGGCGATAGTTGCTGTAGCTTTGTAGTAATGGTGACAGTGGCTTTAAGGTTGTTGCCAGTCAAGTTAGCGGATACCGAATTAATCGACAGTTTATTCTGATTAGCAGGCACCGGAATAGGTGTACCAGGTGCAGGTCCAGCAGGTGCAGCGGGTCCATCGGGTCCAGGTCCAGCAGGGTTTTCCTCTGGTCCTTGTTGCTGCGATTGAGCATAAGCAACAGCACCGAAGCAGATGGTAGCAATGAGTGCTCGTTTGATAAACATATTGTTATTATAGAAAGGAAGACGCGGGACTATATGTATCTCTACGGAGTAACAACCAAAATACTATTGTCCAATTGACTGCTAATATAAATGTAGTTTCAATAAACAGATGATGCTCACGAATGGCGCACTTGTAGACAAGGTGTCACCTCGTTATGGCGAATGAATAAAGATTGAGTAAAACGACACGATACAACTATACAACTATATATATATATATATATATATATATATATATATAGCTGACAATGTAGAGAGATAGATAGAGAGATAGAGAGATAGAGACAAGCGCAATATAATTAGTGTGTAAAATTACCAGCACACGGTACAAGTTGCAGTAGAGTGTAAGAAAGAAAGAAAGAAAGTAATATTAGTATTATAGAGTGTGTAAATGTGACAAGATACGCATGTACGCACGAAATGCGACGATATAATAAGATTAATAGTAGTGGTAGTATTGGTAGTAGCAGCAGCAGTAGTGGTCAACTAGAAGCAAAGTGTGTACAACAGGGAAATGGCATTTAAACTGGCTTTTCTTTATTTGAAACACGCGGACAAGTAAAAACAACGACAAAGACAACGACATTGATGACTTTTCTTTCTCGCCTGAACACAGAATTACAAGTCAATACTCCGACTTTAGATTACTATTTACAGTAGTTTCAGAAATGATGAGCCTGTCAATGTCTACGTTGCCACTTCATTGGTATGCGGTATTCTAAAGCAGTATCAAGATGGAAATACAACGTAAATGTCGGCTGATATTCTGCATTGATGTATTCACACAAGTACACATAATGTATGCATGTATTTGGAGTGTATCTTTGTTCCTGTATGTACGAGAAGAGGACGGAGTATGGATCATGATGGGATAAATTATATGCGTGTACATTTACGTATTGATTAGTTATCGGTAATAGGGAGTGAACGATGTCTATATGTGGTGACTCTTGTTCTAGAATAATTGGTAGAAGCTATTTGGGTAAATGTGTAGATGATGCTATAAAACTGTCGATTTTCTCATGCTGGTCAATGAAAAAAAATAACAAAATTTTACGTTCTATAGGTGAACATTGTGTATAGCATCGTAAAGCATTATTGTTTTCATGAATATACATACATATATATGTTGCTCTTCATAGCAGTAAACCAATATTGATTTGATCCTTAGAAATAGCAAGAAACTAAAGTGACTACATATATTCGACTCTAGTTAATAGTATGAGTGATAATCAATCATTGCTGGATTCAATACAAACAACACTGGATGATCTAGTAGTTACAGGTCAAGGTAATCAAATAGATCAGTATTTGTAGTAGCAATGTAGGTTAATCCACTCTTTACACTAGAATTAGCAGGTGTTGATGCCATCCAAGTACTTGATCATCCACCTACTCCGCTTGAATTCTATCGATATGTCGCAGCAAATCGACCAGTTCTCATTCGAAGTAATTTTAGAAATGCTTATTTAGGCGATATATACATGTACATACATGTA